CAATTGAATTTGAACAACGGAGAGTATGCATTTATCGCTGTTGACTATCTCGATATGGCCCGAAAACTCAATCTGAACGATTCCATTCTACAATCCAATATATTTGACGGTAAATTAGTAAATCTGTTTACCAAATGATATCTGTTGTTTCAATCAAAGTGAAAAATTGTTTGTTATTATATGCTAAATGACACATAATCTGATAAACCTTCACAAAATTAGCGAAGTCAAAACTCAAATCACCTCGATCGTGCACATCTCAAGAGAATAGATTCTGCAAAAAAAAATTAAGAAAATTTACATGCTAACGACAAAAATCAACCAGCAAATTGTTTGAGAAACGAGACTGTGATATACAGTTGCTTTTGATTATACTTTGAAAAATGAATGGTGTTTCCACTGATAAAAAAATTTTTTGTACAGTTTAAAATTTCTACTGCAAAAATTATGACTTCACGTTGCAACAATTTTCAGGGTTATTGGACATCACAGTAGATGTGAAGCCAAATGAAGCTCCCTATCAAAATTTTCTGGATGATGTCAAAGCCAAAGATGATGGATCACATGGATATAAGACGTCATACGAGGTACGAGACTTCTAATTGTTGAGGAATCTATGTTTCCTGCAACCTCCCATAATCTTGACGCTTTTTTTTTCGTTCACCCATCTGACATCTTCACTAAAAGGAGGAAACTCAGTGAACCATTTCATTTCAGTCTTTGCCCCAAAGACACTTATTGGACCTTTTGTTATCTTGGCACCTAAACTTTACTGTTTTATATTGTTTTATTGAATTGTACACTTAGGGTAAAATTATGCATGGTTTTACCATCCTCTTTCAATTTCAATTATTCAGACTTGCTATTTTAGTCGAAGCTATTTGACTTATTTCATGTCTACCTCATAGCTTTGTAACTTCAGATAAACCGTAAAGAGAATTCTACTACTAGGTACTAAGCTCAAATTGAAATTTCTGTTTTCTCATTACAGCATTCTATCCACGCAGCTTTGTTAGCTGATGCTATCATAGTTTATGCTTTTGCTTTAAATGCTACAATCGCCAATAACTCGTCTCCACATGATGGTATAAGTGTGGCTAATCATCTGTTTGGTACTACTGTTCCAGGTAAGATCTCTTAAGGGCAATATGTATCAGGTAGATTTTCAATTCAAAGCAACTCAACGGATCCCCTCGCAGTCGACTATCATAGTTTATGCTTTTGCTTTAAATGCTACAATCGCCAATAACTCGTCTCCACATGATGGTATAAGTGTGGCTAATCATCTGTTTGGTACTACTGTTCCAGGTAAGATCTCTTAAGGGCAATATGTATCAGGTAGATTTTCAATTCAAAGCAACTCAACGGATCCCCTCGCAGTCGACATGAGCGACGCACTGTACTCTTAATGTAATCTAATCTTGTAATTGGATCTTACCACGCTATCTTTTTAGGGATTTCTGGTGACATTAAGATCTTACAAGATGGTAGTCGGGATATGAATTTTTTACTACATAATATCAAAAACAACACTTACAGTATGATAGCAAGGAGTCAGTAAGTTGTCATTATATCTTTATATATCATAAAATTGAATGCACTGAATTTGAAATGAACATTGTCATTATAACGAGTCTCAGTGGTATCGGGTGTTCCGAAAGGTTACGATGTCGCAAGTTTTAGTGTCGATGTCCACCGATTTTGCGAAAAAAGGGGAATTAAACCCCATTATATCAGGAGCTGGTCACTTTAAAGTATTTCCATAAATTCTTGAAGCTGTCCTATACTGCACAGTTGGAGCTGCGATTTAAGGGATGTGTTATAGTAAATCATACGACTTGGCTTAATACGATTATGTTTAGAAAGTCATAATGTATTGTATCGCAAACCTTCAACTACATGCCGAGTCATTTTACCGTATCGATATATATCAGAGAACTTTATATATGCACAAAATGAGATCTCAACGTAATAGAATATTCAAAGGATCTTACATATTTGTCATCCGAACGCCACGAGCGCGTTGGTAAAGAGCTCCAACATCAGAATATGTATTGCGTTAGTATTAAAGTTTTCATCTTCTTTTCAGTAATGGCAAGTTAATAGTACTGCAAGAAGAATCTGTCTATTGGCCTGGTGGTTCTACTCGAGTTCCTCTCGGACATCCAGAATGTAACTGGGATGGTTCTTTGTGTACAACTTATGGTACGTGTTCCATTTCAATTGTAGTTCAACTGATTACTTCTACAACTCAACAGCTTTTCATCACGCATCGATAATATATGTAGCCTGGTAGATTTTGATTGCTGATAACAGAGTAAAGATTAAATTTGATTTTGAATTGAAATTGTAGATCAATGGAATTATATTATATATTAGTGAATTCAAATTGTACATCACTAAATTGTAAATCAATGATCAACAACGTATATTTAAACTTGAGATTTAACTTTGAATTTGAAATCAACAAATTTTAGTCGTACGTCAACAAATGTAACAGATATTGTAGATCAACTTATTGATGGTGTAGATCAACAAATATGAAGAACATTTTTTGTTATTTCAATATAATGTCAACAGATTTAATTGTAGGTCAACAAAGTAAAAGATCAACAAATTTTAGTAGTAGTTCAATATATTTGGTTAAAAAGAAAATCAAGAAATTTTAATAATCATCAACAAATTGTAATTTGTAGGTTCAGTCGTAGATCAACAAATTTATTTCATAGTTGAGAAAAATGTTTTACATGTACTTGTAGATCAACAATGTTTTTTGTAGATCAAGTAATTTGGCTTGAAGATTAACAAATTTTAACAGTATATCAACAGATCAACAGATTTCAACATTGGAGGAACAAATATTAGTTCAATAAAATGTCAACAGATTTTAATTGTAGGTCAACAAAGTAGAAGATCAACAAATTATAGTAGCAGTTCAATATATTTGGTTAAAAAGAAAATCAACAAATTTTAATAGTCAACTACAGATTACAATTTTCAACAAATTTATTTTATAGTTGAAAAAATATTACATGTACATGTACAATGATTTTTGTAGATCAAATAATTTGGCTTGAAGATTAACAAATTTTAACAGTATGTCAACACTTTGAATATTTGAATAAATTGTAATTATAATTTGATGAATAATGATGTTTTTTTGTAGATACTTATATTGGTATGGGTGTCGGAATCCCTGTGTTTTTGATTCTTGTAGTCGTTGTGGTTGCGATCGTTTATTGGCAAAAGTAAGTATGGTTTTAAATAAGCTATATCATCAACTTTTATGAAATGAAATATATGCTCAGGTGTTTTTACTTTAGGGGATCAATCATTCTGGCTATGGTGCTCGGTCACTTTTGGGACGAATGAAAAGGTAGGGTATGCTTACTCTTCTAGATACCTGATACCAATTTTCATGATGAAGTACTTATTCACTTATGATTGTTCCTCTTGAAGTGTAAACCAACATGATTTGATTTTACAATTAGTGACAATATTATCTAAATTAGAAAATTTATTACATAGGATTGATTCAGAAAAAGAACGAATTTTATTTTTCCAAGGTTATCAACCCTATATTTTTTATATTTTACATGAATGAACAATATAGAGCTAAAGCTGAAAATTACAGATTGAATCGAATGGATTGGAAAATAGCATTTAATCGATTACAGTTGAGGGAGAAAAGAGAGAGAAATTCTGAACACAGTTTTAAATCGGTGAGTGCAGAAAGCGAAAAATGCGTCAGTTGGGTTAACCAAACAAAACTGTGATCTCTATGAAATTATTCGTGAATTTTCTTTTTTTTTTGAAAGCTTTTATTACTAATAATAGCATATTTACAACGTATTTCTACTCTCGTGTATTATCACGTATGATTTACTCGAGGATTAGACGCAAACGACTAGCACTACTCTTGTTATAACAGAATTGATGTTAGCCCATGATGTATTGCTAAGGCTCAGATCGACCTTGTACTGATAGATCTGAAAGCATCTGGATTATCGTCGAATACTATACAACTGGAGATGTTCGGGCGAACCTGACCAATCCAATGACCTGAGCTCGAGGTGATGTTGCCCTCAGTTGCTCATGAGCTACTTTCTACAAACATTTGACCTTGTCGAACGCAATGGTCGGACTTTGCGACCATCCAGGTACCGCAATGAGTAGTGGACTTGAGTCTTCTTTTGGTGCTATAGATATAACGATTCACAGTATTTACCTTTTCAGGCTTCACAAGCATCCTCACTGAACTCTGGAAGTAGCGAAACTACAATATCATTAGGTGGTCAAATATTCACCCCAGTTGCTGTATTAGATAGACAAGCTGTAGCGATTAAACCTGTTTTAAAATCATCGATTGCAGTAACCAATGATATCATCCGGGAGATCAATTCTGTAAGTATTTCAGTTAAGATTCTCGAGTCTTTCTCGTTCTTACCTCACGAAGTTCTGTCAAATAACACCTTAGCCTCATGGTTTTCCCGATACCAAACAAAGTCTCAGAGAAAAACTCAATATCAGAGTTTGGAATTTATTCCACGAAAAATATGAAAGAGTTACCATTGAAAACTGATACAAAATCATTGACATTCCATACTTGTATTGAGTGCTCATGAGACGCTCTTGGTAGATCCTTTTCATCTGACCATTAAGTTGTCGAATGCGTACTGGATATCTGTTGAATACTTGAAAAAATGTCTGAATAACAGACAAAGGACATGCTCGTTAAATCATACCTGTAGAAACGTTTTGAGAATAGAAAGAATCTTAAATTTAGGATGTGTACATACCCGCCCCATGTATATAAGATCGATACCAGCCAAGATCGCTTCGAGATTACGCAAACATGTGTAGATGCCCAAGAAGGACCATCATTATGACAAATTACTTCTTCTGAGATGGCTGTCAGGTCATGATGCTTGTAATTGGTTTGAATTCGGCCGAGCGGTTACAGTGGCGTTGGATATAATTATATATGTATTTATTTATAGGTTAGAAGTTTGAGGTACAAGACTATCAATCAGTTGATAGGGGCCTGTGTTGAACCTAACAAAGTCTGTTTAATATGGTCGTATTGCGGGAAAGGAAGTTTACATGATGTTCTGCAAAATAAAAACGTTAAACTTGATTGGATTTTTAAAGTTTCATTTTTGTCTGATATTATTAGGGTAAGCTATATTAAATTGATTTTCAAAAAAGTGGGTTCAGATCGACTGAAGAAGTCAAGAATTTCCTCAGATTAGTTGTAGTTATCATATGAGTATATATCAACTGCGATGGTCATAGATTCCAACCGCCCAGACAGACTACCACATTTATTGTGTTCATAAAGATTAGAACATGGGCAACTGACGTCAACTGCGACTTAAATTCTCTCAGATGCTGCCATTTGCTACTCGTACTCATCCGAAAACCCGTGGTATGCAGATTCAGTAAGACGTTAAAGAGTCCTTACCACTTCAAATTGATCCCAAACCTCGGGGCAAATGCAGACTCGTACAATCATTCCTTGAAAGTATTTCTGTATTAACTATCATGATTGGTATCAGCATCAACCTGAGGTCTCGAATTGTTTGAAAATAAATCTTGACTTTTGAGTAATGTGGACAATTTACATTGCAGGGCATGAGTTACCTACATGAATCGGAAGTTCAGATTCACGGTCGACTCAAGTCAACCAATATTCTAGTAGATAATCATTGGTGTTGTAAAGTTGGTGATCTGGCCATGCCGTTGTTTAGAGCTGGCGAAAAAATGTCTGCAAATCAGGAAATGCGTAAGTTTACTTTTCTTTGATAAAGGTTCAACATACTAATACTAATAACCATAATTTTTATCGATCCCTATTGCCCTTTTAGTGATGTTTATTAGCTGATACAAGTTTAGTTTATACAGTTACTCTCAAAAAGTGGCATCGTATTGATGAAAACTGGACTTGATTAGGTGGAAGCTGGACGAGTATTGGTGAAAACGGGGCGAGTATTTGTGAAAACTGGACTTGTTTTGGTGAAAACTGGACTTGTATTGGTAAAAACCGGAATTGATTTGGCTATACTTGAATTGGTAAAAACTGGACTTGATTAGTTGAAAAAATGGACTTGAATTGGTAAAAACTGGACTTGAGTAGGTGCAAACATGGCCTGATTAGGTGAAAACTGGACTTGTATAGGTCCAAACGGGACCTTTATTGGTGAAAACCGGACCTGATTTGGTGAAAACAGGGCCTGATTAGGTGGAAACAGGACCTGTATTGATGAAAAATGACCTTAAAACATAACCGCCAACAATATCCTATCTTTGACCACATTTCTTTATATGACTCGATATAGCTATAAAAAGACATCTGCAGGTATGATCAGCTTTTCTACCAGGATTTTTAAAAAGAATTTTGATGTTTTCAGATAAATTATGGGTAGCACCAGAAGTCTTACGAGATCCCGTTACCTATGCTCGGGGTAGCAAGAAAGCTGATGTGTATGCTTTTGGAATTATACTTCAAGAAATATTCTTACGTACGGGACCTTACGGCAACGTTGTATTGGAACCCGCAGGTAAGTTTGACATGTTTTCTCACAACTTTCAATGCACAGTTATATTTCTGTTAAAATGCTCAAAAAATAGTTTTTACTTTTGGACTGTGAAATAGATTTTTAAGTTGTGCTGGTGCCATTGTATATTCTGGAATCATTGTATGTTATGGGGCCGGTGTATATTCTGGGGTTATTGTATGTGCTGGGTTATTGTATATTCCGGAGTCATTGTATATTCTGGTGTCAGTATATGTTCTGGGGTTATTGTATGTGCTGGGGTCATTGTATGTTTTGGGGCCATTGTATGTGCTGGGGTCATTGTATGTTCTGGTGTCATTGTATGTTCTGATGCCATTGTATGTGCTGGGGTCATTGTATGTTCAAAGGTCATTGTATGTGCTGGGGTCATTGTATGTACAAGGGTCATTGTATGTTTTGGTGTCATTGTATGTTCGGGATGTTTGTGCTTATATTTTAAACCCACTACATACTGTACTTCTTAGAAATTCCATTAAAACTTACCCATATATTGGACTGAAAATTCCTCTTTGTCAAAGAAAATTCCTAATGCTAACTTGTTCCTAAAGTGGATTGTTTTTAAACCAAATACAATCTAAGATTATTAGTACTTACAAAAATAAAATTCCAATTCAAATTAAAGTGATGGATATAGTGTGAGTCAGAAACCATAGTGGTCGCACAGTAAGTTCACGGTACACTTAACCAAACATACCTTTATTGGTGAGTTGATTATTTATATTCTAGAGATTGTGGAGCGTGTAATCAACTGTGAGGATCCACCATATCGGCCAGTGGTAGAGAAAGGTGTGGCAGCTGATAATGTTTTGGAGGTGATGAAATCTTGTTGGGAGGAAAATCCGGTCTTAAGACCCACTTTCCGACACATAGGTGAACAAATGCGAAGAATAAACAAAGGAAAGTAAGTGCAAAAGAAAATTTGGTAATATGAATTCAAAAATCTTCACAGAAAATATCTAAAAACGGGTCAGAAAGTCTGTAAGTCTATTTTGAGTGTGTTACTGCTTCAGGAACCAACAAGCAGCAATTGTGCTTACTTTTATCAGGTCTGCATGTATAGGCAAGAGCGAATCTTGAGAATCTTTACCAGATGTCCTAAAAATAGATGTATTAGCCGAAACGCGTTGACAGCATGAGATGGTCCATTACAAACTAGACAATGTCCAAAGAATGTTCAATATTGATTTATTTTAGGACGACTAATATTATTGATCAAATGATTCATATGTTATCCAAGTATGCTGATCATTTAGAAGATCTGGTAGCTGATAGAACCAAACAGCTGGAAGAAGAGCAACAGAAAACAGACGAACTGTTATGTAGAATGTTGCCAGCGTAAGTTCATTTACAGAGCAAAGTATTTGCTCCTTTTACATCAGATGTTACCGGTTCAAAAAGAATTTTATGGGAGAAATCGTGATGGCTGATTATACTTTGGCCAAAATCAAAATTTCGAAGAGATCAATATTAGATTTCACACACGCTGGTTTTGATCTGTAAAGCTTATTAAATACGTTAATGAACATCACTTGCCATCTTGGCTGTCTACGGAAGAAAATGGGTTTTCCTGATATTAAAGTAACACCATCATTCTATTCTATATGTATCACATTCAGGGTTACTGGAGTTGGGAAACACGTCATTCATCCTTTAAGATAAATAATTTAAACAGGTTTAAACCAGTATTATTCTGATCTGGATACTTCTTGTCCTTAGCAGTTGAGTAGAGAGGATTGGGCAACATTTGGTACAGATTTGAACATTTACAATGCGAATTAAGCATGTCAATTTACAGACATTTTGTATGTATATATATTACAGCACCATAGCCAACGAATTAAAAAGAGGAAATCAAGTATCCCCGGCATATTTTGACTCTGTCACAGTTTTCTTTAGTGATGTTGTTGGTTTTACCAAATTAGCTGCAGAAAGTACACCTTTTGAGGTAATATTATATCCTGATTCTAAGCTATCTTGGCCCAATATTAATGATTTTACAATGACTTATCTACCTTAAACCTGTATTGTCCCAATATTGATTTTATAAAAGTTATCTCCCTTAAATCTGTTTTGATTCAATATTATTGATTTTATAAAAGTTATCTCCCTTAAATCTGTTTTGATTCAATATTATTGATTTTATAAAAGTTATCTCCCTTAAATCTGTTTTGATTCAATATTATTGATTTTATAAAAGTTATCTCCCTTAAAATCTGTTTTGATTCAATATTATTGATTTTATAAAAGTTATCTCCCTTAAAATCTGTTTTGGTTCAATATTAATGATTTTTTAAACGTTATCTCCTTTAAATCTGTATCGTCCTAATTTTGGGATAGCTGGTCCGATGTGGCTTGCTCACTAATTTGAAGGTCTAGGTCGTGGGTAGAGATATGCTTTACGAATGGTTACTAAAAGCATAACGTATGAATTGTTGTAAAATAAGATCTTGTTTTGTGTTTTCACAGATTGTTAACTTCCTGAATCATCTTTACACCACTTTTGATAATATCATTGATAGATACGACGTCTACAAGGTATAAGTTTAAAAATAATTCTCAATAGTAGAATTCAAAACATGGTTTCTCAACGACCATTTGATTTCGAGAAGGGGTTGTGTATAGGCGCAAGGGGGTGCAGAAATTGTGAGAGGCGGTTTTGGGTGGCTGGATACTTTTTTTCCGGCCCTTTGTATACACAATGTGTCGCTGTGTCGATTAAGAAATTGATGTAATTGTTTGTCGGATGTTCCAATCCATCTATAAACACTTCTCTTCGACACTGCTTACAGGTGGAAACTATCGGAGATGCCTATATGGTGGCGAGTGGTTTACCTATTCCTAATGGTAAAAGGCATGCAGGAGAAATAGCAACTATGGCTCTAGATCTTCTCGCCTCTACATCTATTTTCACTATTGCTCATAGACCAGATCGAACATTGCAGCTTAGGACTGGTATGCATACAGGTAATTGTGCTACTGTTAATTCTTAATTAACCACGACGAATAAAAGATTGTGTCTGTTATAATGCCACTTTTGAACCCTAGATTTGTGGCCATCTTCACAATGTCAAGCCATTACGAACTCCGTCTTATACGAAGTTGACATTGGGGCCAAGTTGAACTGCCATGTCATTGACCCGACCAGAAGTACCAACAGCCAAACCAACTCAGAATCGTCCATTTTAAACAACTACCAACTCCTACGACTACCAACAACTACCTATTTTGCGATATCAGCATCCATTGAAAGCAAACGTTAACTTGTCATCAACCAACCAAGCTTGACATTGTGAAGACTTAGGGCTGTACAAAACGCTTAATAAAATAAATGACATATTCGATATTGTGTTAACTGGTACCAACATAATATGCAAACATATTTCGGTTTCAGTTTTGTGTAAGATTACCTGAAAACGAATAATGTAACTTTATAAATGACGTATCAGCTCAATGTCTAGACTATATTTTTCATGACATAGTATTTTCTCTTTACCAATAGGACCAGTATGTGCAGGAGTTGTTGGTTTAAAAATGCCAAGATATTGTTTATTTGGTGATACAGTCAACTACAGTAGCAGAATGGAAACATCCGGCTTAGGTAAAGATATTACGGTTTACATATATTCCGCTTGAAATTAAATGGGGCTCTGGTTAACCATACCACTTATAGCATCTGGGACGGCTGTATGTTTGATCCTTTGCTGAACTCGACTGCACTTCCGACGAAATTGTCGCAGTTGATCACAGATACTTACATTTTTTTATCTTCATAATTTTCTCCAGAACTTTGTATCTGCAAATGTGTATATTTACAGCCCTTCGTATTCATGTCAGTAAAGAATGCAAGGCAGTTTTAGATCAACTTGGTGGATATCAGTTAAGTGACCGAGGTCTTGTTGAAATGAAGGTAAGCTATAACCAGACACATAGTTTTTAAAAAGACCAAAATATCCAAACCAGAATAACGATCCAACAACATAGAGTCTTGTATTACAGGTTTTACCCTTTTTGATTCCTTGTTACGATTATCTGTTTGTGGTCAAGTTTGGTTTGCGTCTTGTTAACAACGCGGTGATTTTAGAGAACTGTTTACACGTGTTTACACTTTGTTTGTGTCTGTTTACCTTGTTTGCACTTTGTGCTTGTTTACACTTAGCTTGTGCTTTGTTTGTGCTTTGATTTGGTCCGGCTAATAGTGCAAAAAAAAAAAGAATTCGACTAAATAAAGTTCAGAAAAAAGGGAATCCTGCTCTCAACTGACATTTATGGAAAAGCTTAGCTAGGCTGAAGTAAAAAAATACTAAAAGTCAATGTTTCATTGAACACTGGGAAAAAGGATTAAGTCGAAATTTCTGTTTGTGGAATATGACCGGAACCATCGTTTTAAAGTATAACTATAATTTTGACATTGCAGGGTAAAGGATCGATGTACACCTACTGGTTAATTGGAAAAGATGGTTTTTATCGAGAATTACCATCTCTAGAACTACAGGCACCACTATCTGAACATTTCTTTAAATGATAAATATTTTTTGTATTACTTACATGTACATGTATATACAATAATTAAATATTTTCACTGTTAAAATAGTGCTCAATACATCAATTGTAGAGCGATATAGAAACACCACTGTTAAAATAGTGCTCAATACATCAATTGTAGAGTGATATAGAAATACCACTGTTAAAATAGTGCTCAATACATCAATTGTAGAGCGATATAGAAATACCACTGTTAACATAGTACTCAATACATCAATTGTAGAGTGATATAGAAATACCACTGTTAAAATATTGCTCAATACATCAATTGTAGAGTGATATAGAAACACCACTGTTAAAATAGTGCTCAATACATCAATTGTAGAGTGATATAGAAATACCACTGTTAAAATAGTACTCAATACATCAATTGTAGAGCGAAATAGAAAATTCGGGTAATCTTAGATATCACATTAAATTGTATACCACTCCTTCGTTTTATTGCACGCAACGTTTCAACAAACTACATTGTCAACATCGGGTGAAGGCATATCACATATGGGCAGTTGATCATGTGCAGAAGTTATCAAAACTACCAGTAGGACAAAAGATGAAGCGAAAAAGCTGTTACTCTTTGTGTTATTTTAATTATGGATCAAATTAGTAGATCAAACGTGTTGGGCTAACACGCTTCCTTTTACTTATTGAAAGTAGATTAAGTGTGAAAGTTATTAAAATCGGGTTGTTAGCTCTGAAAGGTCTTCTGAATACAAAATGAAGTGTTATTAGTATGAAGTTCCAACCGAATATCGGGCATTATTATTAATATTTCGATCTACATTATTTTATCATAAAAATATATCTACCTATCGAACTGCCTGTGATCATGAGATAAGAGAGGTCCTACATTATAATTAAATACCTATTTACCATCATCAATTAGATATCAAACCTTGTATCATATGACTTGTTATCTTCACAATCTTTAACTACATCGAATGGTTTGATAGAACAATATTTGTACTTCAACCGTTCATTAGGTAAGTTTGCTTCCCTTTATATTGTTATAGGCTAAACACTCGACAGTGAGCTGTGAACACTATCATTGCTAAATATTCCAGTTTCTGAGACTAAGGTACGATTGGTCAAACTGATGGCCAACGTGTCTCTTTTCAGGCGAAATGCCGTTTTTTGGTAAAAAACAACGTCATTATTAAAAACGTCGTAAATTATACCTGAAAATATTTCAGTAAAAGTATGCTATTTATATCTATGTATCTTGTATCTTCTTGATCAAAAAATTTGTTTTTTCTTAAAAATGGAGAGTAGTAATTGTTAATTAAGCATTTTGACCTAGTTTTGGTGTTGGGCTTTATAATGGCTTGATATTATTAGTTGAAACCTTAAGAGACAATTAGGTGTTTATTGTACCCAAATCCGTACAGCTTCCAAGAAGCATAGCGAATTTAAAAAACTTGCGTAACGCTTTTAAATAGTTTTGGTGTTTAAAAATCAAGGGCAGGATTCTTTTAGTTAAAACTTTCAGATACGTTAAAGGGCACATTTATGTAGATTTTCGTGTATAGTTTCACAAATTTGAGGCAAACGAATTTGGACCAACAAAAAAAGCGGAATTTTCCTTTAAAGAAATTGTAATGACAAGGGGCACATTTCTGATCACTCACCAATGGGGACAGTTGTAACCTAGTTATGAGATTTTTGCCCCTACCCCTCTGCCCCTCCCTCTTTGGCTCCGCCACTGAATTGGGCATGTCGAATACTTAATACATCTTATCGGTCATTTACTTAATTCTGCTGTTGCAATGGTTATTTCCGAAACTTACACGCCAACCTTGAGGCTTCAAAATACTTAGGTATATTGAATAGAATTTGTCAGTTGTCTTCTCGTGATAAATTGTGTATGGATAAATAATTGTTACGTGTCTCAAAGTTAAAGTTCATCCTTGGTCAAACACGAGTGACCCCACATCCAGCTACATAGTAGCCTATCTATATCGATAAGATAAACAGTTCAGACTGAACACAGCTTTCCAAAGATTTTATTCTAAGTTAGCTCAATCTTTTGGAACTAATCGTCTAAATATATTCGATTTTCTACATGATACAAACAGATTGTTTGAAGCTATCTGAAACCCAGGCCAGCCATATTTCTGGAGGGGGATGGGGTGGGGCTCCCCCATAGAAACGTCGTTGAGACGAGTTAATCCCTAGTTAATCTGACATTGTGCTTAAACGATACTATTTTTATATCGATACGAGTATCTCAGTAACGAGTGTATGTCATATTTATTAATCTATTCGCACTCGTTGATAAAAGCAGATACATGTACTTATATCATCATGTACATGTATATCATAAGTGAAGTTATTGCGGATATTGAGCATTGGACAGCTTACGTGTGTACGTAAGCGTAACTCAAGATCAAACTCAAAACGTGATTACATGTGTACGATATCCATATAACAATTTTATAAAGGGAACCGAGTGGTATTGGGTTATTAAACAAAAGAGGAGAGGAAAGTCTCCTACAGTAATGCTGTCTTAATGATGAGATAAAGCTATCCGTAGTCGTCCACAAACGTAAAAAACATCGCTCACTGAGCCATCCATTGCGCTAACGGAGGTGTTGAGTTTGAGTTTGAGGTCTCAATATGTAAGTGCTCTGGTCCGTTTTTTTTATTGAATATGCCTTTGGGTTTTAGTTTGCGTTTGCGCAAGCTCAATAAAAAACGGACCAGGACAAATCCTGGACGGCTGCGGACAGCTGACAACCTGCAAAAATAGGGAAATATCATTTATGACATCATTACTGTGGGGGCTTTTCCTCTACTCCTTTGTACATTGACGGTTTTGCAGAATCATCGTATACGGACATAAGTAATCACCTTTTGAGTTTGAGTCTGAGCTTGAGTTCCAGCTTCGTAATCGCAGCTTTAATCATATTATATTCACCTCCCTATTGTTGTCTAGAGCCCAAGTAAAAATTAAGACGGATCATTGTCGGGACGGGAACTTCTGACTCATATTCTGAGTGTTATACTATAGTCTGGGATACAATTTGAAATCGAATACATGTACATGTATTGTATTCAAGCTAATGTTTCTCTGGCTTGGAAGAGCCCCGCCCCTCCCCTGATGAAGTAGCTATTCCATTCATCGCATTCCCGAGCACAGTTTCTTGTTCTCCATTTATAAGATACTTTTGGAAATTTCAGATAAGCAGAGAATCTGGTACGGACGTCCAAAATGGAAGTAAATACGGGTAATGGTAACGCTGATGGTATGGAATTGCTGTATCTTATAGATCCGAGATTTCAACAGATTGATTTCGAGGATCCCATGATCCAAAAGACAGTTATTTTTGTTGCCTTCATGTTCTTCTTTGTGGTATATATTCTCTCCATGATACTTACACCGTTGATGCTGGGTAGATACAGACAATTAAGAACGAAGGAAAAGGTGTTTTGGC